TTTATGTTAAAACAGTTCATGCATATTTAAACACAACTTAACCAAGTAGGTGAATTATTCATCTGGGCTAATTTTGTGTCCTTTAGTATAATCAAAATATATTATATTTTTTTATTGTCACACACTCAGGTCACTACAATTAGGTTCATCAAAGTATTACATAGCCGTGTCCGGGTAACCCCATTGAAAATAAGCGGTGGACATTATACAAGAATGGTCAAAGCATTTATTGGTAGATGTATCTATTTTAGAGTGGGATTAATTTCGCATATTGTTTTTTATTAAACCCCAATGGCTTGAACGTATAATTAAATTGAAAAATATTCTTATATTGCTTTTGCTATTTAGTAAAATTTGCTTTTTTCCTTAGATAAATAGTAGGTTTTTTAGATAAAAATCACTTTTTACTTTATTAATAAACTACAATTTTGAAATCTACTTTTACAGTTATTTCAATGAATTTCTACTGATGGAAACCTTTTGAGAAGAAGTGGCAAGTATCGTTGGCCTTATTGGAGAAACGTGCTAAGAGGTTTATTGGTAACCTTGATTCACTTGAAAGCAATAGTTTGTCAGCCTCGAGCAAACGCCTAGAGTAGCCAGTCTCTCGGTATTCTATAAGATGCATACCGGAGAGTATGACTTACATAATTAATTTTGCTTGCTTAATGCTATAAATAAATATATTACTAACCTTTCGTAACGCGTAAAGAGGAGTGAAATAATTTGCCAGCGTCTTTCCCACTGATTACAATTTTTCAAGGCTAGAGTTAATATGATTTTACTTCAATAAGACATAAAGATTTACACTTATTACCAGGTGAGATTGCAGTCAATCACTGTCTTATAATAAGTAAAAAATCGGAGAGAGACAGATGTCGAACGCTGCCGAACGCGGAGGCCGATTGTGCCTCTTTGTCGCTCGTTCCGCGCTCTCGCTTGCACTTCAAGCCTTAAATGGAACGCCTCAGAGCGAGGTAACGCCGCATGAGTCATGTTTTTTCGTGCGCGCCGCCAGCTTCATCGAATTATAAGACGTTGTCACGTCAAAAACATAAAGAGAATTAACCATACCACATAACATTTTTCCACACTGTATGAGATTTAAACGATCGCTTTAGTACGGGTCGTAAATCGTTTGTTTGTTAAGAATTAGCTTGCACAAAATAAGATAAATGTTAGGAAACGTTAGTTCTAGTACTAAACCTCGGCCTATGACCCACTGCACTTCGATCCTTTATCGTGGTGTGTCGAATGTCTATTTAAAATACTTCACACTTTGGTACTCTACTGTGGTTCAGCATTTGTTTTAATAAGGAAAAGAAAATTAGGAACAAGGAAAGGAGTTGCAACCCTTAACACACACATTTTTACCTATTAATTTATCTAATTTATATATTATAATATCCTTGTTTTCATGACAATCACATGACATACGTTTTAAATTTACGCAACAGATAAAGACCGAAAATAGTTAGGCGATAGTTTTATGAATCCTGGACATTAGAACAAAAAATTTCAACTTATAACACGCGATTATCCTATGAACATCACACATTTTATGGAAGGTGTTAAAATAGTTTCTAACATATACAAAATATATAATCCAAAATTAACTGCGATGCTACAGTTAATAAATTAAGGCCGTGGTCCGAATATTGATTTTTGGGGCACGCCCATTATTAAGGATTCTCCAGTAGGTTCAGTTCCGTTAATAACATATTGCAAACAGAGACAGGTATGATTTCAAAATATGTTATCTGAGTTTTTGAGAAACCATAATGCTTTGATTTATTAACATTGTATCATGAGTCGTGCAACTGAACGCTATCGATAGGAAAACATCATGTTTATCCCTTGAAAGGTCAAGCTTCGAATGTGTGTTTGCGAAGTGTAACGCCCGTGTCAGTAGTAAGCACTTCTACCTTAAAAGGAGCCATACTGTTTATTAACTAATGTTAACCGTACCGTTGCATAAGTAATTACGCCCATTTTGCACTTTGAAATAAAAACATACATTTTAAAGTGACATCGCTAATTATACTATTTACTGCATAATATACCTAGTCAGGTCATAAGTATTGTCACACAGTAAAAACTTTTCTTTTAGAATGCTGGCCACAAAAAAGTTTATTGAATTCGAATTTGGAATTCTTCATGAGAAAAAAACTGTATACTTTTTAGAATTTTACTCATTTTTAAATATGGAGTGGACGCTTAAAGAAGACCGTGTTGCATTTATTGCGTTGCATCGTTGCGGTTACGCGCCAATCCAAATTTTTGACATGCTGAAAAATTTTAATATAACCAAAAGATTCGTTTATCGCACCATCAAACGATACAATGAAGACTCTAGTGTAGATGACAGGTCAAGAAGTGGTCGCCCTCGGTCTGTTAGGACTCCAGCAGTGATAAAAGCTGTGAAGGCGCGAATTCAAAGAAATCCCAAACGTAAGCAGAAACTGTTGGCCCTTCAGATGGGGTTAAGCAGAACCACGGTGAAAAGGGTGTTAAATGAAGACTTAGGGCTTCGGGCATATCGAAGAAAAACAGGACATCGTTTGAATGCTCGTCTAATGGACCTGAGACTGAAGAGATGCCGCGCTTTGTAGAAGCGGTACGCGGGAAAAAAATATAGGGAAATTCTTTTTTCGGATGAAAAAATTTTTACCGTAGAAGAGAGCTACAACAAACAAAATGATAAGGTGTACACACACAGTAGTGAAGAAGCGAGTAACCGTATTCCGCGTGTCCAATGAGGTCATTTTCCATCCTCGCTCATGGTATGGTTGGGAGTTTCTTATTGGGGCTTAACAGAGGTACATTTTTGTGAGAAAGGTGTAAAAACGAATGCAGTTGTGTATCAAAATACAGTCCTGACGAACCTTGTGGAACTTGTTTCTCATACCATGTTCAATAACAGGCACTGGGTATTCCAACAAGATTTGGCGCCAGCTCATAGAGCGAAGAGCACACAAGACTGGCTGGCGGCGCGTGAAATCGACTTCATCCGGCACGAAGACTGGCCCTTCTCCAGTCCAGATTTGAATCCGTTAGATTACAAGATATGTCAACACTTAGAGGAAAAGGCGTGCTCAAAGCCTTTTCCCAATTTGAAGTCACTCAAGCCATCCTTGGTTAAGGCAGCCGCCGATATTGACATGGACCTCGTTCGTGCTTCGATAGACGACTGGCCGCGCAGATTGAAGGCCTGTATTCAAAATCACGGAGCTTATTTTGAATAAACTTTAGTGTCATAAGAATCTATGTTTTATTAAGTTCATTTTGGTATATAAATGGTTACATAATGAATAAACATGTTTCAATTATTTTATATGAAACATGTGACAGAATTTATGACCTGACTAGGTATACTTTCACAGTGAACTTAAAATATTATAACAACAAAGACACGTTAAAGGCTGGCAACGCATCGGCGATTCCCCTGGTTCCCCTGGTGTTGCAGTTGTTCATGGGCGGCGGTAGTCAGTTACCATCAGGTGAGCCGTATGCTCGTTTGCTACAAACAAAACGTCGGAATTCACTCATTGGTATAGTTCAAATGTGAAATATAAATTTAAAAATCTCTCCACGAAAAGGTTTTTCTACTTACTTTTATTATGCATAACAAAGCCTGCCCAGCCTTGCTGTTTCTAATATTTGAAAATAAAATATTTCCTGAAATAATTATATGCTGGAAAAACCTTTTAAACATGAACAATGTTAATAGACTTTGGCACTCAAAAGCTAGTACGAGTATGACAAGCCACGCTAAGCACAAAAACAAAAGAATTGTATAATAGAGACCTCGTCAGATTGTTAATGACACAACGCTAATTAGGTCAACTAGAACTTTCAAAAGCTCTCTTAACTAGCTTTAGGATCTCTTGAAAAAATTCCCTCTGATAAGTCCGTAGCCACAACTCCATGAAAATGTTTGCGAGTATTAAAATCTTTTATGTACGAGTATATTTTTGAATATTGAGCTAATTGCAACATCGGCTTCCGTGCTTCTATGATATGATATAATACGTTCGGAAAGTCTAAATGTAACATACCACTACTGTATCAAAGCCTTGGCTCATTCTTAGAAGGAGAGAGATTATTTTAGAATTATTTTAATTTATGTATTTTTATTTACTACGTTCTTACATAGTATTTATTATTGATATGTCGCAATAACGCCTTTTTGTGGTAGAGCCATGCTGCTGCTATATTAGTAGTATAGTTGTAGCACGATGGGTCGGCTCGACCGGGGAAGGACCACGCTCTCACAGAATACCAGCGTAAAATAGCAGCTTGATGCTGCTGTGTTTCGTATGGTGAGTGTAGAGAACCGGAGACCCTTTTTACTGGAAATGAGGCATTCCATTTTAGTCCTCACGGGTGACAACAAATCTGCATTTTGATTCATAATCGAGGATAAATGTAGATGTCTATGGGCCATAGCAACCATTTACCCTCAAGTGGATTGTGTGGTCGTTTGTCACCCTTATCCCATTTATAAAAAAGCCTTTTTGTTGAAATTGGCCACTTTGGACTGTAATAGCAATGGATTGGCTTGGAATTCTAAATTTAAATTAATTTAATATTTGTTTCTTCAAGTTTTGTTCTGCAATATTTATAACATCTAATATATTTCTTCCCAAAGTTTCCTTCTGTCGCTAACAATTCAACCAAAATAACAAGTAGCTCACTAAGCTTATTCATCTAGATTATATCGAAAATGATCTTATTAAACTACTTTAATATTCACGATAAATAAAGCAAGGTTTTTGTTTGGTATGTTAAAATTTTAACATAACAATGAATTAAATGTGCAATTAATACATTTTCTTAAATTAAATCCTTAAATGATATACATTGCAACTAAAAGAATCTTATATTAACATATATAAAGTTTTGAATTGAATATTAAAGACACTACAAAATGTTTTCTCGGTAAAATTTTGATATTTTCTTGAAAATATGTCATAGGAAATACCAAACATTTCCTATGATTACTCTTCAAACATCACAACATTATTTTTCATATTCCTCATCACAGCGAACGCCTTGTATGACCAGTTGATAAGCTGGAAACAAAAAAGCATATAACAGTTATGCACATATAAAGTAAAGAATTCTAAAAATTTCCATAGGAGTCGTTACGGCCAGCTATTAGAACAATGATAAAAGACGTTTATAACCAATAATACCCAGATCTCTGATAGGGGGCATTTATTAAATGAGTAAAATATCTGACACTTGGAATTTCAATCCAACTGTAAAGTAAAGCGCTTAAAATTTATAACAGTGAATTTTATTCGGCTTTATTACCGATCAGACCAACGACTAAGGCCTTCAGCTCGCTATCGAATTTTTGTCTTCTCCCCTTTTCACCCACAAAAAAATAAATAAAAGTAAAATTTTGAATGATATATATAATTTTTCATTAAATATAAGACATTACAAATTACTTACATTTGTATATGTATTGAGGGATAGAGTAAATATTTTTCCAGCGGTAACTTGAAGAGGTCGCTTGGATCGTTCCATCAGAATTATTATAAACAGTTTGTTATTCAAATTAGTGCCCAACCACGGACAGGCGAATGCAACATTTTGTAGCTCCAAACTCTAAAAAATAAATATGTGTCGCGTGTTGAGGGTGTAAGACAAAGTCTCGTAAGTCGTAAGAGGCGACTATGGAATACTTTAGTACAACATATTGGCTTCCAATTAACACAACACTTAATATATCCAAACTCACTAAAGAAATCAGAGTCAAAGGCCAATACAACTTGTACTGGTACTGGCGATTGTGTGTCAAGCGTAGCGATCTTAACAAAGCCTTCCTACAACGACAGACAATGAAGTGTGTAAACATTTATACATTCATAGTATCGTAAAAAAGCTGCAATACTACACAAGAAGCGATAATAAACAAACAAGAAGTAAATTGAATAAAAAAAACACAATAGAAAAGTATTGTTAGCCTGCCATTCATTGCTGTTTGGTTAATTTAAAAACAAAACAAATAATGCTCTAGTCATTGTAGTTCAGAAGCTAAGCAGCTTCTGAACTACAATGACTAGAGCATTATTTTCAAGACTCGGGTTTGATTAACGCCAGCACCAATAAAATTATGATTTGTAAATTTAAGTGCTGATTTACTTTGTGCTCGGCGGTGAAGGAAAACATCGTGAGAAAACCTGCGTATCTGAGAAATAAAATATATCGAGGATATGTGAAATCCGCCAACACACGCTAGAGCAGCGCAGTGTACAAATTATTCCCTTAACCCTACACACCAACCCCATATCCCCAGCGAATAGAAATATATTCTAAGGTAATGCATATTATAAAGAAGTAAAAAAGGAAATTTATATGTATTTTTCCCACAGCTGGGCACAGGCCTCCACCACATGTGAGAGGGTTATGGTATTATGGCTACGAGAACTACGAGCTCGAAGAACCGACAACGGGAAGAAAGGTTCTTGAGTGGCAGCCTCGTACCGGTAGGCGAAGTGTAAGGGACCCTCCACGAGATGGAGTGACGACCTGGTAAGACATGTAGGAAGTCGATGGATGCAGGTGGCTCAGGACCGTGCTTTATGGCATTCCTTGGGGGAGGCCTATGTTCAGCAGTGGACTTATGAAAGGCTGTAATGATGATGATGATGATGATGATGAATTATATGACTAGGAATATATTACTTTTGTAATATAAGTAAGTTTGGATTGTCTAGAGTTTTGGTAGCTTAGAAGCTAAGAGATTGCTGTTAATTTCAGATCACATGAGCAACCCGAGTCCATTTACTAATTACCATTTACCAACAACATGTAGAAGCCATAGATGATTGAGGAAAAACATGTGAAGTTCGCAACATTTACACATGCATTGGGGCAACGTGGCGGACTAACTGTTTCATAAAGGTCTCAGAAATGGGAGGAGGCATATGCCTAAAAAGGAACGTATTACAGATGCTGTTTTTTAAAAACCATTTCGTATTATGTGAAGTTTTAATTAAGAAAGTAAACTGACCTTTTATTTGAAGATTCGTATGTATCTAGGACGCACACAATGCCTTCCAATTAGTTTGTCTAGTTGATGCTTTACGAACACAAGATGTTTTCCAATTCTTAATTTTATTTCAAATAATATTTCATTCACATAAAAAATATAACGCAGTGGAACAGTTATGATTGAAAATTAACGAAGTAATTTTTTTTCTTAATTAAGTTTTCAAATTGATTTAAAAATTAACACATGGCTTCCTTTTAATAATATCCAGAAATATTTACTATATTAGAATAAGCTACTAAAATTCCTATGGTAGGAGATAACAACAGGAGATCCTCAATCTTAGGATTGACAATGCATCCGCAATGCACATTCCTAACTAAAAGTGCATAGCTAGAATGTGTCTGTGGACTTCCTCCACATTCTATGTACTCATTCGTCACCCTTTTTTAACGTGGTAGAGCCATACTGCAGCTATATTAGTAATATAGTTGTAGCACGAATGGGTCGGCTCGACCGGGGAAGGACCACGCTCTCATAGAATACCAGCATAAAATGGACAAGAGGCATTCTATCTTAGTACCTCACGGGTGACAACGCATCTGCATTTGAGTCTTTATTTAGGATAGATGTAGATGTCTATGGGTCACAGTAACCACTTACCATCAGGTGGACTGTGTGCTCGTTTGTCACCCGATTCTATAAAAAAAAACCCTTACTTTTATAAAAATAGATACAAGGTAAGCAGTCACAAAAAATTACCTTTAAAATCAATTCATTTCCAAACCAACACAGAATGAAAACTTCAGTAAGCATACAAGTTAAGTACACGGCCATCCACATTATCTGCATGCAATGGCTAGAGGGGTTTTCGATCTGCAGCATAAAATATTTATTTTAATCAAATATTTCGTAGCAAAAACTGTCAATGGTGCAACATCAAGATCTAGGAAATGGTAAATTGTAAATTTATTAAACAAATAAAGTGTACGTACCCAAGTCATTGTGTCTGTATAAATAGTATTACCGTGTATTGGCAGTGAAAAATATTCACTGTTCCACATCTTCCCGTAAGTGTCGTAAAAAGCGACAGAGGGAAAACAACCAGGAAACTGAAAGCATCCTCTTCCTAATAAGAACGAGAAGATAAAAAATTGTTGTTGCTAACCCGCTTGCTAAGCATGGCAAATATGGCAAATATATCCCTTATGTGTTTATGGGAAGGCCTCTTTTCAGCAGTGGATTTCGATACGCTATTTAGTATGAATAACATACAGTAATACGATTTTGTCTACCATCGTGGGTCGTAAGTCTTCATCGTTGTAGTCGATGTAGGACCCTGGCTCCTCGCATTAAGAAAATTTGACTTAACCACCATTTTACTTTTCAATCGCAGTACCAGACGTATCACATCCTCGGCGCTCCATTCCTTTCCCAGTCTGGACATTTCATGTTTGGCATGTCCGAGATGGTCACAAACGCGCTTCATATATTTCTGTCTTTCTGATTTTTCTCGTAGTAGCTTCTTACAAAATCCAGGTGATTCCAAAATTGATTGATAAAATATCCTACACTGCCACCAAATGGCACATTAATTCCTTAAATCCTTTAAAATTAATTTTTCTCTGTTCGTGCCACTTTACCGCCTGACACTTATGAAATTCGTTAATTATTATCCGATAAGAGTACTTCAAAGTCCATTTCCAGGTTTCCTATCTACTGCCTTTTATGCCTGGCATGTGTACTCTTATGTTAACGGGGTTTAAATAAGTTCAAAAGACACACTATAGCCGAGATAATTTTATTCAAGTTCTGTTCTTCTCGTCAAATTACAATTAATTAACTTTAATCCTCTCGCATTTAATTACTATGAAAAAATTTTAGTCTATTTTAAGCGGATAGACCTAACACGTGTAGGTAATAAATTCTGGATTAGTTCTTTATTATTAATATGCTACCAGTATTATTTATTCATCAGGGCTGAGAAGCACAAATGGTATTAAGTAAAAGTTTAAGTAATAAAATAAAAATATCTAAAAATTAATATTTATTTATTTGACAGTCTTCTATGTATTCCTTAACATCCATTCAGTCCATCATAAACGCCAGCATCGTCATCATTACAGTCATTCACAAGTCCACTTTTGAACATAGGCCTTCCCCAAGCCTCAATGCCACGCTAATTCATCCGATTACAATGAAGCATAAGTGACTTCTAGTAACTAAAAATGTGGCGTTGCAACGCATACCCGGCAAACTTTGTGAACTTAAAACAAACATTTTTTTACTTACAAATAATGTGTGTGTGTGTGTGTGTGTGTGTGTGTGTGTGTGTGTGTGTGTGTGTGTGTGTTTGGATTCTTGATAGCTTGTAACGGTATAGCGGTATTAAAATGTAAATATTCTTTGTAAAAAAAAAAAGATACATACTGATAAAAACTGTACACCAACTAAGCAAAGTACCATAGCGCTAAGCATAAATTGAAGAGCCGAGGCTAAACTGAAAGCATCTTCTATCATTGAGACATATCTGAAATGGTGATAAATTAAGCATTATTTTAAATTTAAAATTGAGATAAATATATTTCTATGATTATAATTTAGTTGAATAATTATATTTAAATAAGTATTTTTATACGTTGTACGGCTAGACCGGAGAAGGACCACGATCTCACAGAATACCGCGTAAAGTAGCAGCTTAATGCTGTGTTTCCTATGGTGATCGTAGAGCACTGGAGAAAATTTTCACTGGAAACGAGGCACATCTTTATCTTTAGGAGCGATAATACATCTGCATTTTGATTCTTAATCGAGGATAAATGTAAATATCTATGGGCCACAGTATCCACTTACAATGAACTACTACTACTGAAAATGAAGACCCACCTGGAAAAAATGATATTTATATTTCTTTTAATAACAATTAAATTTATTATTTACATAACATTAAAATATATACAATATAAAAAATATGATAATAAAAATGAAACTAATAATTATCATACAATCTACCTAGAATTGTTTATCTTTTTATTTTATTTTTTATCTTTTTATATTTGGTCTAAATGATGTCCAATATTTACCGAATTATGGCATTATGATGAATAATACATTTCTTTAGGACATTTTTTACACACATTTTCTTGAAAACATAACTGGTGATTTTATACTTTTGATAAACTCTTTTGTGGTGACGTTCTGCTAACATATCAAAGTTAAGTAAATTGAAAGATAAAATTTCAATTTGTCCAACTGTAACAAATATAATAGTTAAAATTAGTGTTAAAGTGATGATAATTAATTTTTGTATAAAATAGTATAAATTATGATTTAAAATCTTACGTGTAGATGCTATAAACGCTGCAAGAATAGTATCCATTACGCCATCGATGATACAAGTAGCTGGCTTATAATAAACCTGCAGATATTAAAAAAATGTCTCAATAAAAATAACATTTTTTTAAACTATGAGGAGCCAAAGGAGCATGCGGCTCACGTCATGATACGTGACATCCGCCGCCCCTAAACAACTGCAATACCAGGGGAACAGCATATGCGTTGCGGGCTTTTTAAAAAAGAGTAGGCTCTTTTATTGAAGGTCCTTAAGTCGTATCGGTCCGGAATAACTGCTGGTGATAGTTGATTCCACAAGGAAGAAAGTTAATATGAGATGTGGTTAAATATTTAGATCAAATTATATTCATCATCCATCACATAAATTTTTTACCCAAAAATTATAAAATAAATACTTAATGACATTCTATTGTTTGTCTTTCAATTAACTATTTGAGTTAAACATGAATACCTCATTTAGAGTTATTTTCAAATATAAGTTACGACGTGGTTCATAAGCAGCAGATACAGTTCGTAATATCAATGTTACTCGTACGTTTGGAGGGGATACGATTAAATAGACGCTCTTTGTAGTTTTAATTGGTTTCGCAGTAAAAATTTGGACTTAAAGAACAAACCACGAGGAAAACCAGATACTATAATAACTAACGATGGATTAAAAGTAATAGTAGCAACAAATCCTTACCAAACAACCAAGGAATTAGCGTCATGGTCTAACACAAAGTTAGTTAATCCTTAATTTTGACTTAAATTTGCAAATAATTGCACCAACATATTAAAATAAAATTACTTTTGAAATAGATGCCTCACAAAACTGCTTTTTAAGTACTGCGTGTGTTGAAAGATATAAAGACATAAAGGCATTTATTACAAAAACTTTAATCTAGATAGGTATATGACAAATTGTAATTAAAGAAAACTTGCCTTGCTTTAACGAGTAAAACAGAAATTAAGAATTTTGCAACAGAATTGTGACGTGCAACGGAAAGTAGATTCTCTACGATAATCACTACCAATAGCTGAATGTAATGAAATCCTCAGGAGTTAGATGTTTGACTATTATCGTCAATGCTTACGCTGTTTAACTTATTATATAATGTAATGAAATATTTGGTATAATAGCTCCTTTATTGCAAGAACGTCATTTCTCAAAATCATGACTTTTTACGAATGAAAAAAAAAACATTCTTTCAACGGTATATTTCTGATGCAATAAGCACAAAAACTTATTTTCTCGTTAGGTCGCTAGAATTGAAATTCGCATTTTAATTTTCACAAATTAAATTATGCATTCTGGCAAGAGCCCTGACTGGACACTCTTATCTTAAAAACATATGTCCATCCTGGGAATATGCAACTCAAGGATGTGCCGATTCTGTTCCTTAACGGAAGAAATGCCTCTGCACACCCTAACTAATTGCCGACCCTTAATGCAAAAACGTAATAGTCATCTAGGAAACTATGTTCTCCGCCCAGAAGAAGTGAAATTATTTATAGCAGCGATCACAATAGATCTTTTAGGCCGCAGTGATACTCGTCTCTCTCTCTCTCTAGACCTGCACAGCTGCTCGCTCATAACAATAATAGGTCGCTAGATGGCGAGAAGTTTCGTAACTGCACGTTATTGCTAGTCGTCATAATTTTTATCTCAATAACGTTCTATTTTAGTAAATCAACAAAGACACTTATACTGTACTGCGAAAGGTCGTCATATTATTTGGAACTAATACGTTATTGAAACAATGAATGCAAATGGTTAAAACATTTATTAAATAAATATTTTACAAAATAAAAAAAATATTAAAAATTGTTATTTTCCGTTATGTCGCTATTGCAGTTTAAAACATGTAATATTTGGTAATATTATTCAGCAATGTGACGTTATTGTTGAAAAATATACGTACGTTTTTGTATTATTTGCAGTTATGACTTTGTTTAACGATATTTTTTTAATTTCAACAATGAACACTACATGTAACATTTCGAATTATGTCGTTCTTACTAAAAATGTGTTAAACTGAGAGTATTATTTTAGGTTATGTTATTATTGCAATAAGCACCGGGTGTGTTTTTGAAGTTTATTTAAAAACCTGAAATTTATTTTATCATTTCAGGCGTTCAGAGGTCGACTATTAGTTGACCATGTTAATAATTGTGACGATAATCGTAAATACAAAGAAGATCGAGTCATCATTCAACCATCTTATACTAGCATGCCTCCTATAAAATAAATTCAGCTCATCCACTTCGTCCTTTTCGTCGTCTTCATCTAGTTCATCAAGTTCATCTAGTGAAGATGAAATGTCCGATGTTGAAGATCGTCAAGATGAATTCACATGGCTTTATGACACATTTACTCTAAACAATCTTACAATTTATTAATTACAGCATATCAAAATTTCACTTCTGAAAATAGACCTTCCCATAGATTGCTAAAATGCTTGCCATCTTGCCAGTTTTATGCCGCTATTATATGATGTATATTATTTTTACTTATTAATTACATTATTGAAATTATTGAAATTTTAGATATTCGGAATTGTTGCTCGATAGCTTCAACTAGCAGTTGACCACGTTTCTAAACGCGAAGAAGATTTCGACGATTCGGATAAAGATCGAGATTACATACCAAATACAGAAAGTAATAGATCTAGTGAAAAATAATCTACTTATATACATTCAGCTACAGTTCAAAATTATATGCTTGCAGCTATGATATATATTAGCCCAGAAAAGAAGAAACAGAGAAAAAAATATTAAACGAAAATTATGACAAACATCAAGAACGAGATTAGACAAAGAAAATGATAGAACAAAACAGAGTTTAATGTTTTTGAAGGTGATGCAGTTCACTTACTAATTGAACGACAGATCAAGTGCCATATAAGGAGTGGTCCCATGTGTACCCATATATTTTATAGCTGCTATAGAAATGGCTAAAAGAAATGGACCGCCTTTTGAAGTCCATGAATTATGCCAGGAAAATTTCTATGACAAAAACTATTTTCAAATTTAGGATGTTCGAGTTTCGACCACTATGTATGTTAACATATTCAGGATCGTCCCAACCATTATTTTAGATTTGATAGATTACGAATCCTCGCAAAAATACACCGATTCCTACTGTGGCGGCGCTGTCGCTGCTACGCCACAAGCGAAACATATCGAATCCTAAATCGCACTAACAAAGTTCCGAAGTTTAAGCAGCATATATAGAATAGTTCCGAACTACGAATCGGAGCGTTGGCCACTCCCCGAGTAGAACACCTTGTCCAGCGGGAGATCTTCCCTTTTCCTTCCACTCGCCACACTACCAAGGCTGATTCGCGAGGCTATTTAAATTAAAAAAAAAACACTCTAATTTCAATAGAGAAGGTGGCTGGGTGCTACCATCTGCTTGGGATCCCATAATTAATAAAATTAAATACAAGCCCCAGCATACTACTGCAAGACTTCAAGATACTGTAAGCTTGTTCTGTGTAAATTGGACCAAAAATTAATAATTAAAAGTTGAAGATAACCTTCGTTACCTATGACATCGGGACGATAAACACCTCTGTCTCCCCGCCCGCCATGACCATGGGTGCTGAAATGTATCCGAAACGAAGGGAATTAAAATAAGTTAAAATTAAAAGCGATAAAATTGTAAAATTAGTTTTATTCCATGGTAGCAATAAAATTAAAGGTCCCAAAAATCGGTTTTATTTCATTATACTGTTTCGATTTTTTTCTAAAATATGGTTCTAATTTGATAGAAATCATATTTTATGCAATTTTTTTGTAAGAACGACATAATGAAAAAAAAAACTTACTAAGCAAAGTTTTTCTGCATTAATGACACAAGTGAGTAATTCAGGGCTTATTTTATTTATCATGTGAACACATTACATTCATATATAAACTTATTATTTGGTTTTATAGTTCATTAATCAATAAAAGCAATCTAATTAAGTTAATATATTGATACTGTTTTATTTTCAAAATCCATGAAGTTCAAAGTTTTTAACTGCTCCCCTGTAAAATGACGATTTTTGTGTTGCGACTGCCTTGCAATAAGTGAGCGATTATGTCCTTAATTACTCCCCTCATAATATTATATAAGTTATCATATTATTATTATACCGTGTAGTTTTCATACGTTCTATCGTAGGTGGTTTTGAGCAATGTCCAGTCCAATGTAAAGATGTTTTTTAATTATGTTGTAGTCCTCTACTACAGTAAAAAAATAATAAATTAACAATTTTAAACGCCCCCACAAAACAAAAAGAACTAATGATCTTCAAATAGCTGGACATGTTTTCTCGCAATACACGAACACTCTCGATTAAGATACCTATCAAAATAAAAATAAAACTAAACCAATATCGCTTCATTCGTTCAGGAGCTATGATGCCACATATAGACACACAGATACACAGATACACACTACAAACATATAACACCCCTCTGTTTTCGTGGGGGGTTAAAAAGATGTTAGACTGTGCTTATACCTTGTTTTTAACAAAAATATAATAATGTGATTAATTACTCTTTGCCATTTAAAAACCTAATAGATACAAAAATCAAAAAAACTAATTTAAAGTTCATGTCCAAATATGTTTGCTAAAGGTAAATTTACTAATATAAAATGCTTACGTGGTGCAGGTATATAATGCTGTAAGCTGGTGATGTATAAACATTGATATATGGATATTCAACATTAGTCGGCAGAATTTCAAAGTTTTCAGTTAGTGGCATCAATATTGCAACTGTAAAACATAAAAGTAACGTACAATATTATGTCTCACTGCTGCCTCCTATCACTATTAAAATAAATATTATGTTGACGATTGACAAACAAACTTTTAATTTCTTACGTCAAAAATTAAAAACGTCTCATGTAATTGCTCGTTTCTGAGACGGTTATAGAACAGGGAAACATCTGTCACCATAACACGGGCCAGACGTTGCGCCCGTGGCCCGTGTTAATGCCTATTGGTAGACTTCGCATGTCCTCGTAATATTTTCGTTCTTGATTTTTGTTAGGGAGATATCCGGACGATATATATACAAACATTTTCTTCTGTTTTCTTCCTGGATAGCGACGTTACTGCATATATTTATTCTGCCAACTTCAAAAAGGAGGAGGAACTCAATTCGACTGTATGGTTTTCTTATGTTTTGGGAGCTGGAATCATTTTCTGAGAAACGTACTTACACTCCAGACGAGGAGCTATGCGAATCCTTTTTTCCAAAAGACGCATACATGGGACGAGACAAGACGGTACGTCGTCGCCCTGCCGTTCAAACCCAATGCACCGCGCCTCGGCGAGTCACGGCAATTCGCATTCGAAAATTAGAGTATAGAATGGAACGCAATGTGCAGATGAAAACTGATTATCACACGTGCCTCCAGGAGTATGAGGACCTGAACTATATGGAGCTCGTTGATAGTGAGCCTTTGCAGGGTGCCAGCTATTATATTACACATCACTGTATAGTTAAATAACCGAGCCAAACAACTCGCACACGCGTAGTGTTCGATGCGGGTTGTAGAACGACGACTGGTTTGTTGCTTAATGACGTTCTTCTAACAATCCTTTTTTGTAGGTAAACCAATTTCGATAATTCTTTTTTTATTTTAAAGCTGTTGCTTCTCATGTGGTCCCATATAAATTTGATCAAGGATGGACCATTAGTTTTAGAGTTATCTTTAATAACTTATATTGAAGTGGACCATATATAATTTGTAATTTTTAATTATTGTGACGCAATCTTTGCTTTCTCCTGGGATATTTTTATTGCGCGCCTCACAACCTAAGGGAGTGCTCTACTTTCGATATGTGGCCATACCTCAATTTAGCTACATAAAATTGTTCTTATGCTTTTAGCTAGACATGAAATCCATATAAACGTTACAATAACTACAGACATTGAATTATAAGATTGTTTTATTTTCTAATGGATTCGCTTTATATTACATAACAAAAAATGTAATTGAAAAAATATTTGGACTGCCGTCCGTTGGTCTGTGCGTCGGTGAGTCTTCTCGCTTAATAGAAATGTAAGCAATAGATAGAGATATACATATTTATTCCATATGTCTGCCACCAATAACTCTCAGCATTTCGAGTGATACTCTATCATATCCGGCTGCCTTACCTGCTTTCGTACTTTTCATTGCCTTCATTATTTCATCTGTACTTATTTCCCATCTCTTTTCTCTCTTTCTTCTTTTGGAATTTCTATTTCATTTCGTTCAAACGTCGCATCAGTCATAAACATGCTTTCGAAGTATTCCTTCCATCTCTTTAAACTCGCCACTTCGTGATTCAGAATACAACCATTCTGATCTCGTATAGCATTAATTCCAGGCTGTTTTAAATTTATATTTCTGATTGAGGTATATAGTATTAAATAACATTCCATATAATTCATTCCATTCTAAGGAATATATGGAATAAAGATCCCTATTGATTTTTGTTATTGAACTTAAAACCGTTTAAAAGTTATTAATAAAATTTGTGTAATTATCACAAGGAAAAAGTTTTTTCCTTGTGATAATTATCGTCACTATTTTTATTTTTACACCAAAATTAAATGAAACGATCATGAGGCGTGCACTTCCAAACTATTTTTTATATTAATTAAAAATTAAAATTTACCAGTTTTCCCACTGGTATGAGACATTCAGCGAACAAATTTAATTAACATAAAGAGCATACGAGTATAATCGAAGTATCCGCATTATCAGATTAATGGTGTCCATATTAATTCAGCGGGGTTTGGTAAACTTCATGAAACACTTTCCTCCACCCTCCGTAGGTGAGCAGATGGTAAATAATTATTCAAAATTACTGTTGGCAATTCTTGAAAACGTGCTGTTGAATCTAGGCCTACTACAAATATAAAATGTAGATATGTACAATCATATTGTGTTACGTACCAGTGACAGCCCCGACGCACATGAGCGTATATGCATTCATAACAAAACGTGCCATTTTAATAGTTTTCTTTATAATGATTTTATGTTCTGGTTCTTGAGGTTCAAATTCTTTGCAATGTATATAATTTAAAAGGTTCATAATTTTCTCTTTGTTATACCAGAAAACAAATATCTTGAAGTAAGTATACATTTCACTTAAAAATAAATATAATCTACAACAAAATTTACATTATTAAAGTAAGCTGGAAGCCTTAGAAATAAATATATTTTATAAACCACCCTATTATGGCTGGAGGACGAATGGATCGTCTTGGCCAAGGACGGAATACACTCACGAAATACCAACATAAAATAGCAGCATAATACTTTTGTATGTCGTGTAGGGAGTAAAGAGAAAAGCAGAATCTTTTTAATGGCTAATTGGCATTCTATCATAGCCCTCAGGGGTAACACCGCATTTAGATCCTCCCTTATGATTAAGATTAGGGTTATTTTGGGCTACACAGCATCCAAACTTCAATAGGGGTTCCCGTTTGTCACCTTAGAAGTATAAAAAAATTATCCATCTTTATCAGGCCATAACTGTCCATTATTGGACATGGGCCTTTCTTATGTGATATGGGGAGATTTTGTCATAATCGACACGCTTGGACTTTTGACTGTTCTCCCCGTCACCGAACTACTTTTCATCCGCCTAAAGCAGAAATAGCTATATTCTTCATATTAAATAATTAAATAGCAAATATTTTGTATTACTAGTGTAATTTACCCTTCTGCTATATGGCTAATGTTTTCTCGGCGTTGCAATAAGTAGTATATTTCACCAATACCAGGCAAAAGACACACGAGCCAAAATATTATGAACGTGTATAAAATCTGAATCCAAAATTTAATTGTTTTCCACGAATAATTATTAAACCACATCCCGTAAAATTTTAGCCAATAAATGTGAACGCTGACATAAAGGTTGGGATTAAGATCATCCCAAGATTCTATTACACCATATGGTAAAAAATTTGACAAAATCTTTAAAATATTTTTCAAAATTATAGACTTTTCCTTCATCACCTTACTTGATGCAATTGTGTGATCAAATAAATAAGAGGATTCAAAAAATCCGTAACAATACACTAGTTGACAAAATGCGATAGTAATGTGATACTGTAAAAGTTAAATATTAAGTCGATGTCGATGTTAAGGCAAAGGTCTCTCAAGATATAGCAAACATTTTGTATTTCTGAGTTCATGTTGACGCTAAGTAATGTTTATCAGCTATGATCTATCTAATCTACATCTGATATTTTGCCGCTAAAAAGTTAAAGGTAGAACATGTTAGTGCATAAACCAGTTACCAGTGTTTATTGATAACTTTAAAATTTTTCTAATGTAAAACATTATTCAATGTTACAAAACCACGGAATAATGCAGAAACAGACAAGTGAAGATGAAGCTTCTTTTAAATAGTCGTCTAATATACGACAACTAACACAAAATAAGACAGGTTAAGAACAGCGTTACAAGATTATATTTTGACATAAAATAACACCTTAGTAACATTTCACAAAAATGTGACAGTGTGAAATAACTTTAATGTATTATACGAGTAATAGCTGTAAGTAATATTTTTGGTTTATGATATTATCATTTTGTCGTATGATGATACTCGTAGCTTAGAAGCCGTAAGTTTCATCCCGTGTTTGTCACAGAAGTCGACTATATAAGTTATGCTTTAGCTACATGGTAGAGCCATGCTGCAGCTATATTATGGTTGTAGCACGAATAGGTCGGCTCGAACGGGGAAGGACCACGCTCTCACAGAAAACCAGCGTAAAATAGTAGCTTAACGCTGCTGTGTTTCGTATGGTGAGTGTAGAGAACCGGAGACCCTTTTTACTGGCAAAGAGGCATTCCATCTTAGTCCTCACGGGTGACAACGCATCTGCATCTTGAGTCTTTATTGAGGATAGATGTAGATGTCTATGGGTCACAGTAACCACTTACCATCAGGTGGACTGTGTGCTCGTTTGTCACCCGATCCTATAAAAAAAAAGCTATATTATGGTTGTAGCACGAATGGGTCGGCACGACCGGTAGGTCCACGCTTTAACAGAATACCAGCGTGAAATAGCTTAATGCTGCTGTGTTTCGTATGGTGAATGTAGATACCCGGAGACCATTTTTTCTGGAAACGAGGCGTTCTATCTCAGTCGTCAGGGGTGATAACGCATCTGCATTTTAGTTCTTAATGAAAGATGGATGTTGATGGCTCATCATCCACTAACCGTCATATGGACTGTGTGCTCGCATGTCACCCTCATTCTATAACTCACCAACCAGTACAATAAGTACTGGCGACGGGGAGATGTATGTTACTGTATTTTTAAATCTGCTAATAGTGACGAAGAACGAATATTCTTACTACAAGGAAGAGACCCATGTCCAGCAGTGAGATATTACGGGCTGATAAAAAAAAAACATTATAATTTTATAATATAGATGTAGCATATGCCTTAAAGGGTTTATTTAAAATGTCTCCGAAAGCAATTATAATAATTACGACAGCGATGTAATTATCTGCTAAAACAAGGTGTACTGATAAACAAACCATGTTTAATTGTCATTTTAAAGAGGCTACTAGAGCTAAATTATAACTAACTATTCACAAAGGAAGGATTTTAAAATTAATCATAATATAATGACTTAAGATAATCTAGATAGAAGCATAAAATAGAAGATTTACTCAGCTAATTTAGTGTTAAAAATCTATCAGAGGGAGTTCTAGTATACACACTAGATAAATTTTAAAATTACAAATCACATCTACTATTTGAAAATGATAGATTCCATCCATTATATACATCTTTGGTTGTACTATTTGTATCTGGATGGTTTTAATATCAATACATATTAAGAAAAAGAAAAAGTAAAAAACTCATTACCGCCATTTTTCAATTGTTGTGAAGAAATTCGATATATTCTGAAGTTATATTACAAAAAAGGGAAAAATGCGAATCAAGCCGCGAAAAAAATTTGTGACGTTTATGAACCTAATACCTACAGTGCAGTAAGAGTAACACAAAGTTGGTTTTCAGTCCGTGAGTTTTGATGACAAAGATGCAGCTAACTCTGGTTGCCCTTAAACAGATAAAGTCAACGCCATTTTTGAAAAAGTGGAGCAAGTTCGGCATGTTAGTAGTTACGACATAGCCGAAGAATTCAGGATTGACCACAAAACAGTTTTAATCTATGTAAAAAAAGTCTGTCTATACAAAAAAGCTCGATATTTTGGTACCACAAGAGCTCACTAACGGAAACCTAGTGAATCGTGTACTCATTTTCGATTCGCTATTGAAACGTAATGAATCCGAACCGGTGAAGAAAAGTGGATCATCTACGGTAAGAACGTGAGAAAAAGATCATGGTCAAAGGATAGTCAAGCTCCACAGATTGTAGCTAAACCCGGATTCTCACGCAATAAGGTGATGATATCTATGGTGAGATTGGATGAGAGTCGTTTATTTTAGGCTTTTTCCGCCAGGCAATACCATCGATTCGAATCTCTACTGCTAACAACTAATGAGACTCAAGCAAGTAATTGAGAAAAAACGGCTGAAATCGATCAACAGAAAAGGAGTGGTGCTTTATGATAACGCGAAAGCACACACATATTTGACCACACAGCAAAAATTGAGAGAGCTTGTTTGGGTAGTGTTAATTCATCCATCATATAGTACTGACCTTGCGCAATATCAGTTTTCACCTGGTTTGGTCTCTTCAGAATTCTTTGGGTAGTGTTAGCTTAACATCGAGAGAAGACTGTCCAAACTAATTGTCGCACTTTTGATCAAAAGTCCCAAGATTCCTACAGCAACAGGATTATTTCAGTACCTACAAATTGCACCAACTTATCGAACAAAATGGCACATATATGTTTAATTAAATGTAACACTTTGAAAAAATGTCTTGATTTTTTATATAAAATACGATGAAACTTTTTTCCTGACCTTTTGTTTTCAAAATTTAAAATGATCAACAATTCGTTATAGCTACTATCTGATAGGGTTTAAGTCAATCCTCTATCTACGGCTTAAGCACAGAACTAATCCAATATTAATGTCAAAGACAAGTATTTTTATTCAAAATTTATATATTTTTATATATTTATTATATTTTATATTTATATTTATTTTAACAGTGGTAGAGCCAGGCGGCAGCTTTTGCTGTCGCACGGATGGGCCAGCTCGAACCGGGGTGGTACCACGACCTCACAGAAAACCAGCGTGAAGTAGAGGCTTACCTCTGCGTTTCGCTTGGTGAGTGCTGGTGGCCGGAGGCCCTTTTTACTGGAAATGAGGCATTCCATCTTAGTCCTCACGGGTGACAACGTATCTACATTTTGATTTGTAATAGAGGATAGATGTAGATGTCTATGGGCCGCAGCAACCACTTACTATCAGGTGGACTGTGTGCTCGTTTGTCACCCTTATCCTATAAAAAAAATATTCGCAAAGATCGATGGCGTAACATTTCGCTTTTTGAAAGAGAAATGTTACGCCATCGATTCAACAAATGTCTATTACGGGGAGAGCTTGTGAGTTGCATCGGCAAGAAACTAACAATCAGACTATTTTTCTTCCTACATTTACAATTTGTCGTTAAAAAGTACATAAATAAGTAAAAAAAGTCTCTCACTACATCCACGCAATCTTACATTTTAAATAATCATCTAATTTATAATATCCTTTCTTCATAAGTGTGCTTATAGCATGCATTTTGAGTTTATGCGAAGGCAGTCAGTAAGTAATATTACAGGGAAAGTGGTAGCGGCGAGTAAGAATACTCACTACCTCATGTCTTCCCGTGGGTGGCGTAAGAGGCGACAGAGGGAAAAGGAAGCAGAAGATGGGCAACATCATCTTTCTGATAACAGCAAAATAACAATAAAAAACTCCGGTTGCCAACCCGCTCGCCAAGCGTGGAAACTATGGCAATTTACCCCCCATGATAGTTATGAAGTGACGGCCCCGGTGGCTCCGCTATTCTTGGCTATGGTGGCCACTGTGGTAACGGCGGGCAGGGGGTGCTAAGAATCTCCGGTGAAGTTTCGGTTGATACCTAAAACGACTCAACCTGACGAGGACTGATGAAGAGATCCTGTGGCTTGCATAAGAGATAGATAAGTAACGCTGGCATATTTTAGGATCATCCGAGGTCCGAAGAGAGAGGGAGGACATGGTAATCCTTGAATCTGGCGAATTGTTCTACGACCCACCGGGAGGTTGAACATTTGTCCCAAGGAGGTATAGGATTTATCGTCCTCAAGTCTCTCGTTTATAATGTTGTAAAGATTGGGAGCATATCGACGAGGTTTGAGTACCTTATACTCAAAATCATCAAACGGTATTCGCTAAAGATCATACAGGTTTAAGCACCAATATCGGCACATCCCGATGAGGAGGTGGAGGAAATGTATGAGAATATATCTAGATCCATGAATTTCTCCAAAACTCACTATACGGTGTTAATGAGAGACTTCAACGCATAACTAGGCACGAGAAAGAACGGTGAGTTGAAAGTAGCGAAATTTGGAATAGGGCAATGGAACGCAAGGGACCAGCAGCTGGCCGACTTCATGAAGAAAGAGGAACTCTTTATGATGACCTCTTTCTTCCAGAAACAGCCCCACAGGAAGTGGATCTAGTCGAGCCCAGACGGTTGAACAAAAAATGAGATTGACTTAATTATGACGACTAGACGACAACTGTTTAGTGATGTTTCAGTGATCGCGAGGGTGAAAACCGGCAGTGATCACAGAATGGTGAGAGGTACACTAAACCTAAACGTTAAGTTGGAGAGGTCACCTCTAATGAAGTCAACACTCCGTCCCCCTCGTGCTCTAATCCAAAGTCAAGAAACCTTTCAGCTCGAGTTACAAAATCGTTTTCAGTGCCTAGAAGATTGCAGTGCAGTAGACGATATGACTGACTAGCTCGTGGGTACTGTTCATGTGGTCAACTTGGCTTGGCAGCGTTCGGGCATTTACGACACATCTTCTCGTCAGGTAT